TTGTGACTATGAACCATGTATTTAAGTATGTCTGTTGGGTTTGTATTGCACTGGTCTTGTGCCCTCGCACAAGTATTGTACTCTTGAAATTGAAGCTGTCACTCTGTGGACAGTTTTAATTCTGTAGAGTAGCAAGTTGCTTTTTTAGCAGGAAGACTGTCGTTTTGTAGGTTGACCTGGAATTGCACAGTTATGTATCAAGGGAATAATAACTGAAGGAAGAGACTGAGAAAAATACGCTGCCTTTTGAAAATTAAATTTTTTTTTTTCTAAGGAATTAATCTTAACTTTTTTATTATAGTTATTGCAAACATGCTTATGTTTCTAAATGCTGGGTTCTGGGCTGGATGATGTATTGAGGTATTAAAAATTCCTTGTTTCTCACTGTAGTGGTTTAACCCCAGCCGGCAACTGAGCACCACCCAGCCACTCGCTCACTGCCCCCGCCCCAATGGGTTGGGGGGGAGAATCAGAAGACTAGTGAGAAAACTCGTGGGTTGAGATAAGAACAGTTTAATAATTGATATAAATTAATAATAATGATAAAAGAATATACAAAACAAGTGATGCACAGTGCAATTGCTCACCACCCGCCGACCGATGCCCAGCCAGTCCCCGAGCAGCGGCCCCCCCGGCCAGCTTTCCCCAGTTCATATACTGAGCATGACGTCCCATGGTGTGGAATGTCCCTCTGGCCAGTTTGGGTCAGCTGTCCTGGCTGTGCCCCCTCCCAGCCTCTTGTGCCCCTCCAGCCTGCTCAGTCGGTAGAGCATGGGAAGCTGGAAAGTCCTCGACTAGTGTAAGCCATGCAGGACTATCTTGCTCAGTGTCAGCCGCTGACTTGATGAGAACTGACAAAGGTCTTGCCAGATAGGTCTGCTGTTTTACCAAGAGGAGGGTCTTCTGAGCTTTGCTCTTCTGTCACATTTTCAATATTCTTGGAGTCACTTGATTGAAAACGATCCTTCTATGGCAATGCTGCTTTCTCTTACCTGAAGCTAATTGACAGGACAAAGTTGTTACCTCCAGTGAGAAAGGAACTTTATGCAACAAGATTATGACAGAAAACTGATTGCTGCAAATCATTTGACTAATGATAAGCCTTTTGTAGTACTTTTCTGAATGCAGGTACCTTCAACCTGTGGTCCCCTAGTACAGTATTTGACTTGATCGGTCATTTTTAAATAGCTTCTCGCTTCACTAAGAAAATAAGCTTAAAAACAGCTCAAATGGATGCACAGGAGTCTCATTGCTTTACTCCTGCTCATTTAATTCACCTGTATTTCTATTGCTAATTCATAAGGACAATAGCAAGTTTTCACAGTGCACTCCCTCTGCTCTCACTCTACATTCAATCATTTGTCTTGAGTGATACCAAGCTTAACAGAGATAATGGTACATGCATGCCTAAATTTTTAAACACAAACCTAAAGATATTCTTGCAAAAGAGTTTTCATATTGTTTCTCACAAAAACATTACCACACCTTCCCATGCAATTTTTAATCCAACTTACAAGACAGATCTGTTCTCTGCAGCTTACGTGCCTTCCTGACAGAGGTGGAAGCTTAAGACTCTGGAATCAGGGTACTACTGTACATCAGACACATACAGAATCAGTGTAGACATCATCATGATTCTCAGGTACAACAAGGGGAGTCCAAAGCTTGGGGAAAAAAAAAAAACAACCAACCCAAACCCCACAAAACATCAACATCAACAACAAACAACCAATAGTTTGCCATTAATTAAAATATTTTTTAATAAGTAATTTAATAAGTAAGGTTTCCTTCAGATGAAATAAGGGCTGCTGACTTACAGGCATTATTGCTACTTCTCCATCTGGGTCTTCACACACAAATTCCTGTGTAAGTGTCCTGGTTTCGGCTGGGATAGAGTTAATTTTCTTCCTAGCAGCTGGTACAGTGCTGTGCTTTGGATTTAGGATGAGAACAATGTTGATAACACACCGATGGTTTGGTTGTTGCTGAGCAGTGCTTACACTGGTCAAGGACTTTTCAGCTTCCCATGCTCTACCGACTGAGCAGGCTGGAGGTGCACAAGAAG